GTTTTTCGTGCAAAGAAGGATGTGCAGCTAAGCAAAATATACTGTATAGCATAAGCCAGCTTTTTCATACCCGCATAATATAGCGAGTTGTCTCTTAAGACGAATAAGCCCGCCGCGATCGATTAGCCTTTCGTTCCAGCATACTGAAGACTTCAATTTGATCTCAATGGTAGCAATTGTATGAAGATTCTATCAGCAGAAAAAATAGCAGATGATTCAGAGCCACTGTTGAACAGGCTCCTGTTGCCCGTGGGACGGCCACAGGAACGGCTCTTTGAATTTTAGTACGTTGTTTAACCATGTCAGCATGAATGAAGGCTGTCAGAAAACCAATCCTTTGTATGTAATAATAGACAAAGTGCGTATGTGAACTTTAACTTAGGCATTCAGGCAAATGCGACAACTATTTTCAACATAAACTTTTTTGGAAAATTTTGCAACATAACAAATTAAAGTGTTTCATTTTTATTCTTCACTCAAGTTCCATTTTTCTGGACTAGTATTTTGTTTTTTTTTTTTTATTCTGAAAACGCACAGTAGGCTCTGAAATAATGTTTATCACAAAGCCGATCATTTAGATAAATATTTTTAATGCCTATTACGAATACGGAAATACATACATACGTGTGTATATTAGGGTGTATCACTCTCCAAGCAAAAAAAAAAAANATAGGAATTATAAAATTTAATATTTTTGGCCCAGCTCACTTAAATCCTAATATTTTTCCGAAATATTCAGACGAAAGTCTTAAACTTCAATAAATTTTATAATTCCCGTGAAAAATCCGCAACCTTTTTTGATGAGGCATCCTAATGTAGCTACATATGTTGTATATATGTACATAAATATATTGGTGATTAAAATGCAATTGTTAAACATACATCCATACATTCGAGCAGTTAAGTACTCGTACAATATTAAATGCTATTCGAGAAGAAAGTTTGCATTCCTATAATCTCGCACATTATGTATTCGTATAAACATTCAAAAACGAAAAATCTCTATTACGCCTACATACTACATTTATTTAGAGAAAAAATTTTATTCAGTTTGGAATTACTGTTCAAATTTCCAGACATTTTGTTTAATTCAACAACAAAAAAGTAACTAATTAGAGTTATCAGAACAAAGTGATCAAAAGCATTTCGGAAAAATTTATGCTACTACTAACATAACAACAACAATATGTCATATTTTGTTGTAATTATTTGGAGTTAACTGCTTAAATACTAGCACAAGTTCAAAAAGTTCAAAAGTCGTATATATATAATTATTTTTTTTTGTAAGTATTACATATGTATACATTTATTTACATATTATAATTAATTGATAAACCTACCTACCTGCCTAGCAAAATTATATTTACACACAATTACAAAAATCATTTTGCCGGCCAATTGTACTAACCGATTCACAAAAAATAGTTTTGTAACAACTATGAAGCGTACAATTTAATTGTTTTTAAATGCGATTGGCATAATGCGATAAAACGAATTTACTTACAAACCAACAGTCGCGTAAATTACATACAAACATAATTAATTACTTACTTATTTAACTACCTAATTACCTTTGATACGTACGCAAACACGCAATTATTTTTGTCTAACATATCGAGTATATATCGAGTACTATTTACCCATAACAGCTGGTATTTAAATTTATTAATATATATGTATATACTTGCATATCCTACTAACAGTATTTTTGAAACCAGTAAATTGATTTGAAAAAGCCGAAAGCAATAATGGAGCAAATAGTTGGCAGGAGCAGCAAAAAAAAATTAGCTGAGCGTGAAAAAATATAACGTCCATCATCAACTGTTTGTTCGATTATTGTTTTCATTTTACAGCCAAACGAATTGAGTTGAATTACATAGTTGCAGCAAAATGTATTAATTGAATTAAAAAAATATTGATGAATTACTTATGTAAGTAGGCAGTAATTATTATGATTTTTGTTATTATTAATATTACTACGATTATAACGTATTAATATACATATGTATTTATATGTATGTATCTATAAAATTTCACTGTTGACTTTACTGATATTTACCGAATTTTTACGCAAACGACGCAGTCGTATTGTATTCTTTGATTTCTTGTTTTTTTTTTACAACATAAACTTTTCTTATTTACATTGTGAATAATTTTATTTTGATACCATTGCATTTCATTCATAAAACAACCGAAGTATTCGCTCAATAACATAAATTCTTTTTTATATTTCGCAACAAAATTTTTCCTTAATCCTTCACACCAACACCAACTATCCAAAATTCATCCGACTCCGAATCTGCTTCCGTCTCCGTCTCCGTCTCCGACACCAACACCAACACAACAACTGTGCAACGGTGTGTGTCCGTGCTTATACAACTCGCGTCTGTGTGGGTTGGTGCCAAATTGCTAATTGGTGGCCGTTAACAAATCGAAATGAAACGAAACGAACCGTACCGAAACCGTGTGCTCAAATTGAAATTGAAATCAATCGCAATGAATTGCAATACTGCTGCGCTTACAAAACGAAACCCCCAAAAAAAAAACTCGAAAACCCGAAAACAAAAACAAAATCGAATACAAAAAAAAAAAAATACAATAAAATCAAATCAAAATATGCGAAATGGGTTTGTTGCCACTACTCTGGCAAACACTGCTGCTACTGCCACCATCGTCACTACTTCCGCCTCCATCTGCGCTGCGGCTGGGCCCCCACTCGCACACACTCTCGCCACGTCACTGTGGTTGTTGGGTGGGGCGCTCGCTGGATAATAACTTGACTTGGACTTTGCTGCTGCTGCTATTGATGACGTCAACGCCATTGTGTTTTGTACGCCTTTGACCTCATCGCGCGCCGCAACATCCATCGAATGATGATGTATTTTGCAATTGCCATTGCCCGCCATTGTGATTGCGATTGATATAAATATTTGGATATTGGAAATCGTGCGATTCGTTGTGCAACAACTGAAAAACTTTCTCACCAAAAGGTGTCTCATGTCAAAATCGATTCACCTGTTTTTCGCCTACACACAAATGCAACTGTTATTTTATTAATAACATTCTCGATCGCTGTTACGACGCGGCAGTACGTAGGAAATCCCATAGACTGTGTACATACAAGGTAGGATCGATTAGGTTGCTAACAAAAACACATTTGAATCACTAACCTATAATTTATCCCGAACACCTATGTACTTAGCAAAGAGTAACAAATACCCACACAAATACAAACACACACACACACACACATACAAATACATATAATCCGAAACACTGTATGAATGCATGCAGCCAAATGCACCATCGAGAGAATGAAAAGACTCTATTCTATTCTATGAACTATTTAGCTACTATTTATCTTTCTCGAGTTGGCTTTAATACATATTTATTTATATAAGCATACATACATATACTTATATATCTACATGTAAGCTTGTTCCCACTCACACAAACACCACCCCAACTCCAGAAATAAAAATACCAACTCTCTTATCTTGCACAAGTCTCTTACGTAGTCTCCTATCCGAGTTGGTGTTTTGAAAAGCGCTGAACGTTGCCACTGCATTGTTTCGCACAATAAGTGGGCGGGCCAAACGTTTAGTACATTTCAAAGTTTTCAGCTCACGCATACATACTTTGTATGTATGTATGTGTTTTTTTTTTTTTTTGTATGAATGCCCCTGGTATGCCCCTGCACGCAAATCACATGTTGACACCTCGTGCCATATTAATAATGCTTTTCGTTTGTTTTTCAACTACATCGTTCCGGCCTGCAGAGACATTCCCGAAGATGTCCTCAACACATATTGTTGGATACATTCGACATATACAGTGGTGGACGCTTTCATGAAGAAGCAAGGTTCCGAGGTGCCTTTTCCTGGGGTTCATAATTCACAGGGACGTGGACCTCTCACAATAAAGCATACAAAATATTATCAATGGGTGGCGTTTACGCTATTTTTTCAGGTGAGTGACACACATATGTATGAGAGTGTTTTCAATTGTTAATTACATGCATATAAAGTACGAGTAGATATACATATATTAGATTAAGTGTGGAAAAAAAAATTGAAATTACGCACATAGTTTTCTGTTTATTAGTTTATTTGTACGCTTCCAAGGAGAAAGATCCATCGCTTCTTAAGATGTCTCATTTTATGAAGAGTGAAGTTGTATTTAGACTTACAGGAATTTAGTAGCTAAGGAGCTATTCTAGATCGACGGGATCTTAAAAAAATTATAGAGCTCAAAAACAGGGACCGAACATAACAATTATTGATGAAAACTGTCATAGAAAAATTCACTACGAAGGAAATTTTCTACAACTAAGTAATACATACCAATCGATTTCTTTTTTTCACCGAGACTCAAATTTGAAAATAAATTTTTTTTTGCAGTTTTTATGCAAAATTAAAAAAATAACAATTATTTTTGATTTTTATATTATAAACCCAAAACAACAGTTTTTTTTTTGTTTTTATATTACATGTCTTAGATAACAGTTATTGAAGACTTTTATCCATAAAAATCAGTCAGTGACTTTTACTTTTAAAAATCATTAATAACAAGTAAGAAAGTCTAAGTTCGGGCGGAGCCGAACATTAAATCCGGCGCAAGTATTAAATATGCTGTTTTTTCACCTTTCCGAAAGCTACCGCTAGATGGTAAACCGGGGTGTACCAATTTTGAGTAGCTTCCTTAAATTCGCAAATATTGCAGTTTCAAGCATTTCTGAAATTTACCGTTATATGAAAAGCGGCCGT